AATTTTAATATACTGTATTAATTATTAGTGAATATTAAATAATACACTTCAACTACTATTTAATTTATTTACCTTTCTAATAACATCTAAAATTTTTTTTAACCCATCCTTAACTATAAGATTTAGAATGTAAGCAAAACAGCGGTTATGAAAAAGATCTTTATTGATATTTATAAATGAGTCTTGTAAAATACAATTGGCTAATTCATGAATTGCAACATCATTCGAAGTAGCATTATCTAGGGTAATAGTTTGTAACTATAATAATAAAACTATAAAACATTATTTAACTATATTTTTTTTAAACCAATATTTTATATATCTTCATTAATATTAAAATTAATTAACAGCTTAATATATATAAATTACCTTAGTAGTAATAAACTATTCATCTATTTCAGTTTTAATACAGTTGGTGATATTAATACCAGTGTGTAGATAGGAGATTAATAATAAATAAACACAAGGTTCCAACCCTTATCAAGAAAATACGTGATAACTGATAAGTATTTAAGTTGTTGAAGTGACATACAAGCATCACAAATTAGAGAAATTTTGCCTTCAGCATTTTGAAGGATTTCTTTAATTAAAGTTTTTCTCTTATTATAAGCTTTCATGATATCTTGTTTAATCATATCAGCACTAATACTAAAATTAGATAACAACCCATTAATAAGGTTATGAAAGCCTTGACCTTCTACGAATTGAAAACTTAATTCATCCCAGACAATCATATTACTTATATCTTTTTGGGCTGAATCATTTGTATATGGTCCTTTTTTTAGAAAGTTAAATTTTAATTGTGTTTGACCATTTGATAAATTTTGAAATTTTAAACAAGCACCAAGATGGTGCCGTAGATAAGATATACCACACCCTTTTTTGTGACTAAATAACCTATTACAGTCAAACCTCCATAAATGCAACCTCTATAAATACAATATTTTTCTAAATGCATGTTTCTGGCCTAGCTATAAGAATCATTAGTGCTAAATGCATGTTTACTCAAAAGATTTTCTATATCATACTAATCTCTCTAAATGCACGTAGCCAATCAGAATTCAGCATTCAAGTTGTGTTATACAAGCCTGCAGATCAAACATCAAAAGCTGCAATTTGATTAGCTTTCTCTAAATGCAAACCTCTCTAAATGCATAATTGAAGCTGGTCTGTATACATTGTATTTATGGAGGTTTGACTATACAATGTTCACATTTAGCCTTTTGCTCATTTGTTAATAAGGTAAAATGTTTTCAAATAGCAGATATATGCTTTGATGATATGAAGGTTTCATTGGTAGCTTTGCTAGCAGTTTTATTAGCAATTTCACTAGGTACTCTATTGGGATTTTATTTATACTCTTGCTAGTTGTAGTTTCATTGTTAGGTACAAGAGATATTGAGGCGAACTCATTAGAGTTTTCTATTTCATTAGTGTCATCAAAATTATATTCCATAGAATTATCCAACTTAACAAGTTTATTTTACTGTTAATATAGTGTAAGTTTTTAAATATTTTTATTAAATAGAAATTTACAACACAAATATTCAAACTTACTGTAGCTTTTATACTTGGCAGATAATTTAGTACTTGGCTTAAGTGCAGGTAATTAATTTAGTTTTTTTTTTTCTATATTTTTGGTTTGTTTTTTTGGTTTTTTTTTTAAAATTTCATAAAGAAAGCTCTAATAAAAGAGTATTTAAGAAGAAAGGCACTAGTAAGTTATGTATTAGCAATTCAGCACCTTAGTAATTAGCATTAGTACGCAATAAGCTATTAAAAATTTTAGAATGTAAGAAAAAAAGATATTGATTGATCGCCTTATATAGATGTAAATGATAATTACGTGTCCCAATTCTATTGGACATATTAAAAGTAACGGATACTCATAAGCCCAAGGGTAGTATATATATTACCCTAGCCCTACCCATTATTGTAAAAGCTTAAAATTCCAAACTCTTACCCTTACTGTAAGGTTTAAAATCAATACTCTAGTTCAGCTCTTGTAGAGCTTACCCACAGGTATCTGCAGGTATACCAGGCCTATGCGGAGGCCTAATCACAATTAAAGCTTGTTCTTAGTAGATTTTGTATCCTGCCTTAGAACTTCTATAGATTTATCCTGGGTTTGTATTGACTAATTACCAGCTTGCATTTCTCTATTGAGCAGATACTACAGCTATTCTTGAAGTAAACCTACTATAGCTTTTCATACCTCATTCTGGTTAGCCTAGTCTTTGCAGTCTTCAAAGATTCTACTTGCGATATAGTTTAGTGACTATTATGCTCTTATAAAGTTCACTTTCTACTCCAATACCCATATTTGAACTTTCTTTTTTTTATTATTCCCTAACTAGTCTATCTCTTACTTCCAACTAACAACCCGGAAGATTCGACTTAGACCCAGCTCTAGGTGCCCTTTAGCCTGTCTCATCTTGGTATACACTTCCATAGCATGTGTTCTTTTTCTCCAACTTGTGATACCTAGTTCTCTGGAGTACTCAGCCATTTTTTTGTTGGATCGCTAGGCCTAAAACTTTCAATCCAAAGGTCCACCAGGGTAGGTTTCTCTTACTACTAACTTTCCCAAATTCGGTGACCTGGTTGGTGTAGCTAGTATACTTGCTACAAGTTTCAAGTTCTCCAAATTGGCGGTTCAGTTGGTGAATCCCCCACTTAAGGATCTTTTGTCATTCAGTTTATCGGTCTTGGTTCTAACTTCCAAATTCAGTCTTTCCTGTAGCACCATCAAAGATTTTAGCTACCTCCTTACTTGGGGCTTCCAAACAGATATTGATCATCCTGATTATCTGGATTTTATATGCCAAAGCTTCCATTCTTGATAGTGTATCAAACAACCGATCGGCGAATAATCATATTGAACACAGATCTATTTTTCAATATCATCATCCATGAAATTTGAACTCTAGACCTGCTGCTTGGAGGTGACAACTCTACTACTTCACTATGTTGTTACACCCCTGTATTATATGTTTTATTTATTGGAATAATTAAATATATAAAATATTTTTTTATGGATTAGCTAAGGCACTTGAGAAAACCTAAGTAAAAATCAAGCAAGTTTATTTAGAATTTTGTTATGATTGAAATCCATAAAATTCTATTTAAATAGATAATAATACAGTATAAACTTACACTTCACTATAAACGCCAAAACAAGACAAAATGAAAAATTTTCAATATTTTGATTTCTAGTCTAATCGATCTGTGATAGCACCGACAAAATACTTTGATTTTTATAAGTGTGCTACCTAGGGCTACTGAGCCCTACATAAAAAAGTTTGTAGGTTAATTATTAACAGAAAAGGAGTTCGGAATTCTAACGATTAAACTTATTAGGAAAACAGCTAATATTGTAGTTATAAATATAGAATAATTTTAATATTATTAATTGAATATGTTTATGTATATTTATAAGATTTTAGAACATTAAAAAAAAAAAAGGTAAATTTTTACCTAAAATCAAGGAATCATATTTAATCAAAATAGTAGATTATTGTGAAGTATTGGTAAAAATGTTAAAAGCTTTTAGTATGGATACAAACTGTTTGAAACACTCAAACCATGTAATAATTAGCATCACATTAGTTTTAATTACTTAATTTTTTATAATCAAAACTATATGATGTTAATTATCATATTGTTTGGGCTGTTCCAAATAGTTTGAATGACAACCAAAAGAATAAGGATTTGCTTTAGTAAGCTAAATAGATATAAAAACAGAATAAATTGTGGCATTGTGTCTTTGATATGTTTTTCTCTTGATAGCTTGTTTAGTACTAGCCTAAAAAAACAATTAAAATAGTTGTATAGTTAAATTATACTTTGGTAAAGACCAGCAGCTCAATAAACCTTTCACAAAATATTCAAATCTCTATGTGATTTATCATCAGATCATGCTTTATTTTTGAATTACAATATCTTTCACTTTAATTTCACTTTATTCTATAGTGTTAACTATTGTCGGAATCTTTAAAAAAAATTTGCGAGAAAATACACTATACTAATAATATATATATGCACCTCTATTCTTTGCATAAAAACCAAAAAATTAAATTTGTACAGCTAACTTATATGAAATCCAGTTATATAGCCACTCCTTCTTTCTATAGTCAACCTTCATAAGTGCATTTCTTACAACTTTCCCTCTATAAGTCACATTATTTAGAGATCTATTGTAATTTATATATAGTTAAGACTAAATTACTTTCATAAGTATATATTCTACAACGTGCTTTTCTCCAATATAGAGTTGACAAAATAATTATCTCTATACAGGCACAATTCTTTATAGCTACTACTAGATACACTGAACTTTATTTTCTGGTTCTTATTTATACTTCTATACTATTCCTTCTCGATTATTTGAATATTACTCTTTTGTGTTTTAAATTAATAATAATTTAGTAGTATGTTAAAAATATACAATGAATTAAGTAATGCACATTAAAGTTTACTGGTTTGATTAGTTTGCTATTTAGCAAAACAAAAATTAATTATTAAAATCATAAAAATTGTAATTCTCAAGATACTTGATGATATATTAGAGTAATATAGATTAACATTTTCACTAAATTTATTCATAATAAAAATATTCAAAAAACAGATTAATTAGAAATAATACTAACAAAAGCAACTTTTTTTTTGTTAAATAAAATAACTTTTGTATTATATATATATATATATATTAATGGCTTGGATTTATCCGTACTAGATTTAGTACTTTGTACTAGATTTAGTATATCTTTAACCTTGATTATCTATTAATTTTTTAAAAAAACTATATATTTTAATATTTTTTAAAAATTTTATAAGTATT